TTATCTTTATTCATGTTGGAATATGCCTCATTCGAGGGTTGAGTATTTTGGGTGGAGATCAAATTCAACTGATTAAAATGAGATCAAGGGTCAAATCATAATCAGATATGGTACCCTGAACGACCGAGCTATGTACGTAGGTGCTTGATGGGAAAGGGCCTGCGAGGAGGATATGGGTACCACGGAGTGGGACATGTCAGACTGGCTTGCGCCAATGCTCTGCTCGAATTGAGTTAGAGTCATAGTGTTATTGACTCTAGATTGCAGTAAGTAAAGAAAATTGGTAAGTTGCTCTTAATTTTAGAAGTGTAAGGTTGGTAAGCAGATTAAAAAACACACACACACACAATGTCCTCGGGCTATATCTTGAAACACCCCAGACGGAGAAACACAATTCTTACCCCTTTCCCTAGAATCAGCGGTCTGAAACTATATATAACATGTACGGGTAGTATCTTGACGATTGAAGTAAGACAGCTCTTAAGCAAATTCAAATAAAGTACATACGTGCAGTCCCTACGAGGCTTACGGACAAAGCATATTAGGAAAAAAATATTTACTATAAGCGAACCACCTGGGCACTTGGTAAGACAGATCTAGATCTACCTATTACCCACAGAACCAGTGATATTAGCAATCGACCGGTGAGAACCTTAGTGTTAGCCCAAGCCCTAAGTACCTAGACAGGTACCTAGTTCTAGGCAGTTCGGAATCCGAAAACCGACTCGGCTAATTCTCCTTTCTACAGAGTCCATTTTGCACAACACTGTCATGTGGTTGCAATTAGTGGATCTCACTAGACACGGGGAGTTTAAAGTACTCCGTACATAGCCCGAAACTATCGACAAAATAAGCTAAATAAATAATGCACCATAGGCCCGGATTCTTCACCGAATAACGTGTGGGGAAGTAAATAATAAGCCGATGAGGGGTAAAAGGGGGAACGGAGAGACTGTCTCACCGGGGAAACATAAGGAGTAGAAAATCCAGCTGGCCATTGTGGGCCAAGAAATTATTTGCAATATGAACAAGCCAATCCAATCCATAAAGCAATCAACGTGCATAGAATTAAAAAGAAAACTAAACAATTATAGACTGATAAGCTGTTCCAGTAAGATTGGTAATAGGGAGGCTTGGCAGGATTCGCAAAATGCCCAAAAATAGGTGCTCCTTGGGTGTATACACATCCACGACGTACAATGGGCACTGCTGCCTTGGTCATGGAACACAGTCCACAATAACTGTCAATCCCTACCCTCCCGGCCAAGGCGGGAGTATCAGATTACACAAGGCTTGGCGGGAAATCATCATCTTGGCAGCACTTGGCAAACATTTAGGGGTCTCTCCCTCGCGTCCGGCGGGATGGGGATTCCTCTACAACCTTGTGTTTTGGTCAGGTGGGCTATGTAATGCATAATTTGGTGGCAAAAGTGGAGTGGGAAGGATTCATGCAGATGGTTTGAAGTGTTGCTTATTGATTGATAGCATAAGCGAAAGACGTACTAATGTACTCCATAGACAAATTTTGAATGAAAAACATATGGCAATTTGGGCGCGCCAAAAAAAAAAAAAAAAAAACACCCCTATTCATTTTCCTACCCTGTTCCCATGACAGGGTGCCCGAACTTCCTGATTGGAGTCGCTCAATTGACAAAGATTGCAAAAGAAAAAAAAGAAAGAAAATACAGTGTAAGCTCAATGATCAAATAGTTGCTGTGATGGTGGTATATCGTGAAATATGGATGAGAAAAGAAGACTGAAGTGACTAGGTGGGCCAGTGATAGAGCGCCTAGTCCTGCTTCTTGCCATGACCAAGGTAGAGGAAACCACTAGGAAGGATGGCAGTAAGGTCATTGAGGGAGACTGAAGAGTTGGTAGAAAGAGAGCTATTGGTGCGGGCACGGTTGGTAGGAGCCAACACAGGGCTTTCCTCAATTGAGCTGGCCTCAGTCTGGGACTGGTCTTCCCAGGCGCGAGGATCCGGGCTAGATTCGACGGGAGACAATACGAGGAACTTGTTGCCAGGGTGGTAGGGGCCAGACTCAGCGGCAGAGAGGACCAAGAAACGGTGGGTGGGGGTGTAAGTGTACATCCTGAGAAAACTTCTGAAGGCTTTGTGTGTGGAATAAATAACTCGGTTAAAGACGGGGTCTTTGGAGTATTGGAGAAAGTTGTAGATGGATTGTTTTGGTTGAAAGTGGGAAATATCAGGGACCTTCGACTCACTTATATAGTCCAGACCGAGATAAGCCAAGAGGGACCCTGGAGAATGAGGGGCATGCTGTATCAACGATAAGCCCGAATCACGCCGATCCAACGCATCCAGCACATCATATCTAGGCCGGGGTTACGGAGCAGTGGATGCATAGTCATGCAGTCAAGCCACTCCCCGCCATTATCGCCCATTAAACCCATAAAGGAGAGTCCCAAACATGCTGGAGAGCTTCAAATGTCTTGGCCGAAAAAAGGGGGATTAAAGCCAAGAGTTCACTATTGGCCGACTATCACCCTTTTCTTTTTCTGAATGCTTCGACTTCGCCTCTCTTGGTTCTGGCATGGTCGCACCAGAGTCTGGGCGGCTAACAGTCATTCCCAGCACCCATGGCAAATATGTTGACTTGGCAAATTAAGCCCTGTGTCATTGCGCAATATGTTTTGCCTAGAAAGACCCGTTGCCAACCGAAACTTAAGGACCTCGGAAGATCAACAGCCAGGGTGAGGGGCCAAGAGACGAAAACTCATGGCTTTCACAGGCTTCCCTATGCATCCACACATAGTTAACTATGTGTGTTAATGATGATTTCGGGTGGGAAAGCCTTACACATTCCGAGTTGTTTCGTTGTTAGTTCTCTTCGCCAATCATTCTAACTGCTGCGTGGGCGCTAGGACCACTGGGTATGCTGGGGTATTTTTGATCTTCCGGCCATTCTCTCGGGGGACCCGATGGCGCACTTCGCTACCCTTTGGGGAAAAGAAGACACGAAAGTGACATCATATTCCAATTTTCCCCAGGATCTGAGAATCTGAAAATCGAGATCTTGTTAACCGAAGCTGTCTAGACTCGGGTAATGGTCACTTCGGAACATCACTAAACATGTGAGAAACAGATTGTTTCAAACTGATCTGCTGGGTTATTTCGAAACAGGTGCCTTGGTAGGGGGCCATTAGAATTAAAATTGGAAGTAAAAGTTTTGTTTCCAAGGTTCCTTCAAGTTTATTTAACCTTCAAATTGAACCTTGGGACACCTATCACGTGGTATAACCCTCATGCAACAAAATCCAAACATCAATGTAAATAATTTTCGTTTATATTCTTTTTTTTTTTTTTTTTTTTTTTTTCATTGTCTACAATAATAAAAATACACAAACCAACAGCGGCAAAACGGACTGCTCAGCGACTGGTCTCGACCTGTCGATTGTGTCGCTGTGCCTTGCCTTGCCGCCCCTAGTTTGGCGCGTCTTTACTCGCTCGGAGTTAATATACCAGTGGGCCGGCGCCTCAGCAATGGGAGAGCCTCAGTCGAACCCATATGAACGCTATTGAGCCATGGCTGAGGAACTTGGTGCTTGTCACCAGTCATTAGCGCTCTAGAACCAATTGATAGGCTATCATTGATTTCTTTTTCCCCTGGGCCCTGCAGCACGATCGCGTTAGATCAGACAAAGAACGCCCTGGCTAATATCGCACTCGGCACTTGGCCAACACCGACCATACTATGCCACAGCACTTCTGAATTTTCTTGGCTTATTATCCTTTACTCGCTTAACTTCATACTTATTAAAAACAGCCTTGTCACCATGCAGTCTTTCGCATTTTAATCGCGCAGAACTTGCGGCTATCACCAACTGCGCCATAGAAATGAGCCTTATTCGCCTACATCCACAAGTCGAGGCGCATTACAATAGATTCAATGAAGTCATATCCTGCCATATTGAGACTGACTTGGGGTGGAGTCTTGTTTGGAGGACCACCTTTGAATTTCGGTTGGTTCCTGATGCTACTTTCTGCGGTCTGCGTATCTAGTCATGCGGCACCATATCATGAAAGTCTAGAGCCAAGACTGTCTGAGTCCCATGCGGGGACTCAAGGTTCTTGTCGGAACTACATTGAATACCCCAAGATACGGGATTCGAGAAGAGCCATCGCAATCGCACTGGCGTTATTCAGTTGGTCACACCTCCTGCGCCGTCTACAGTGATGCGCACACATCATGAGAAAGCTGTGGCAGGTGCCTTTCCCAGAGTATGAGCCATGCCTTTAGGGCTAGGTATCAGGATCATAGAGGTTTGTCAGATGGGGCAAACTATGTTCCTGATCCACGTTTCGGCCGCAGCATTGGCCCTATGGGGTGCCATTCACAGAAGGGTCAATGTTGGTGCTCAGAACATGAGCCCTAACACTGGCTGCAGCGCTTTTAGAGTGATGTCAAATGCTCCCTGCAACCTGCGGTATTTGGAATTTGCATCGGTAGTCATGCTTAGGGCTTCGGTGGCCTTGACCAACCCCCTGCTGCTGGCGAACCCCATATCAATAATCGTGACTCTTCCCGGAGGCACACCACACTCTAACAGTCCACCTACCATAAACTCTGCTTTCTGTTGGTAAAAGCATATGCACTGGATATGGCGCATGTGTATACCATTTTCGTGCCCTCCATCACCTTCTCTTTGACTGCGCAACAAGTGATCACCAAGTTACTGCCTGCATATGGCGCATCTGGATGGATGAGTTACAGCGCTTGTGGGGGACGGAAGGACCGAACCGTTTTTGCGACTGTCGATTGTGTGTTCATTTTTTTCTTCCATTGAGTTGCGCAGTCAATTCATTTCTTTTGATGTAATCATGGAATACTATAAAGCTGGGCATTGATCCCCTTCTTGCCTCTCATCACATCGATCAACATCCAGAGCTCAAGACTTCCTTTGAACTCACTGATCTTTAATTCACAATACCTGCTTCTACGTCCTCTGCAACTTGACCTCTTCACTCAATCGTCAATATGTGTTCCATCTACATCTTCGAATACGCCTGCGGTTGCAAGCACCAAGAAGAGGGCGTGGTCCCCTGTGCCAATCAAAACACTCCTGCCTGCAAAGGTGTTAAAGAGCAACCTCGTCAACGAGTTGGCGTCCGATGCGCTCGTCACGGTGGCTAAAGTGGCTTCTGATGTGAGTTATATCTTTTCATATTTTGAAGCGGATGGCGCTGCACAGGGTTTGGCTAACAAGATACTGCAGGCACTCGTTGACTCAGGACTCGAGGCCGTCCATCGCTATGCCCTACGCTGTCATCCAGTGGTTGGCTTCCCCGCCCTGTCTGTGTCTGCTTCAAGATAGAAGAAGATATCTCTGTATCACACCTGTTATTTGAGGGCAATCTAATTTGTTCCCTCGCATCGGTCATTCTGGAATCTGGGTGGAGGCTTTTCTATGTCTGGAATTTCGGGCTCTCGTTTTGAATATTTTGTGTTTTTTTCTGTCATTATTTGCCGGTGTTTCTCTATGTTGATCTGCTTATCTACGCGTGCTCGGATCTTCCTCTCCTTAGACCACCCAGTTTCGTGGACAAGTCGAGAAACCATAGAATTTGATTTTTAATACACACTCTATGATATCTTCTTGATTTTATAAATTTTTATATCTTTCTACACGACTGAGGCTTTATTTCAATAGCTGATGCATGCAGATTCCAGTACCAAACAACGATATCAAGCAAGAGGTAAATATATCCAGCTTTGTAGGTCTTCATGAGCTATGGTAGCAGTTCCATGACCCTCAATGATCTACTAGCCTGCACGGTCATTGATACTTCCACTGTTTCGTGATACTTACCAAGTAGTAGCTTAAGGCATGTGCTTCTGTCGGCGGATTTCGCGGATTCAAATATATAGGATAACAATACAGCAGACGGGATGCAGTCTCCTCGTGCCGTACCATATTCATGGTCGTCCAAGTTTAAATCTGATTGATCTACCCAGAAGATCTTCGGCATGCAGCATTTTCACAAACTCAACACGACCAATATGGCTCATCTCCGTTGTTGGTGGCAATAAAGTTTGTTGGATTATAAGACTAATACCAGATCCTGAATTAATCTTGCAAGGTGGCGGCAATAAGAAGTGTATGCAAGATGGGGGCCAAAAAATGGGTATGGCGCATGTCCATGCTTATCCATTTGTAGCAAAGTAGACGCAATTAAAGTTTCAAACACGAATTAAATTGCTCTGGACGTTGGGAATTGCTGAGACCCTCCCATCAGTGGGGTATGTCGGCCCTTTAAAGCACCGCTGGACCTTCTCCTAGCCTCCCAGAGTGAACACGTAAATGGCAAGGCTGTCATTGTGATCTAGCGAGGATGATGTGATTATGTGACATTGCTGTCGGTGAAAGTCGGACATATGGAAATTTACTATTGGCGAGAATGGGCTTTGGCCACGTTGCGTATACGCGAGTCATGCATCATGTGGTTTCGATTGGACACTAGATTGTAGGAACAAAGACCCTCGGGAACCAGTCACATCAGTGTTACAAGGGTAAAGGCGCGTGGAAATCGGTTCCATCCTTTGATTGTAGAACGCCATAACAAATCACGCCCAGCTTGCAAAAGCCAAAGATCGTGTTAGAGGACGCCGCTACGAAACTGGTGCGTGGTAGGCTTTCAGGGCGAAACCTAGTCAGTAAGTCGTAGCGCATGCCAATTAGACGCGGCTATGATCTCCAAGGTACATGGTAGGCTATATATAGGCTGCACAGATACTTCGTGGGTTGCATTAGTTCCGCATATAATTTATATCAGCTGATTTTAAGTGCCGAATCGAGTAATATCGATGACCCTGGGGTTTGTTGGTTTGTTAATAGGTAGTTGTCTCCAGGGTTGTCCAGCGTTGGCTAGGGTTGGCTACGGTTGGCAAGATACGCAAACAGGGGTTCGCCCCACGCGGCGCAGACCACGTCGAAGTTCTTTGCGTAGCCAATCGGGATTTTGTTGGCGCTGTATCTCGCTAAATCCAGCAGAACAAGTGGGGTGTGTAATTTGCCCCTCAGATTGCCTTGGAGGGTGACCAGGTGGGATGCCAGTCCGTGAAGTCCGGCTATGGGCTTGGGTGTCAATCCGTACGGAAGTAGCTGACTGAGAAATTCAGGCGAAGACCATTCTTGTGTTTCCAAATCCTCGATAAGGTTGCAATGTCTCAACCCAATCGTTGGACGTCCAGGGGTATATTGTCGAGGCACCCGGCCAAAACAGGATATAGCAGCACATCGGCGCCATCTCGGCCAATTGTTTTTACGCATGGATTTCGTAGCCCATTATTGTAACAACCTTTCTAGAAGGTTTTCTACACATCTTTTTTTTTAGTGTCTCTTTACTCCCATGGGATTTTACCAGGTTAGAATGCAACCTAGAGACAAATCAAATATTGTCCGCTGTGCCGCTGGTAGGCTGACCCGGAAATATGCCTTTGCCGGCAGCTGTGCTCTGACATGTCTACCTACATGGTCGTCAAAAATGGAACGGCTGCGGGACTCTGAAAAGGCTGGGGAGTTCTACCCCTAGCATTTCGTTGACCATTGTTCGTATTAGTCCGTAGTTATCGACGAATACGCCAACTGGTAGGAATGTCATCATGTATATCACGTGGTGATACCGTCACGGACTCCTCAACCTCCGATCTCTCCCAGATCAAACATTAAGAGCTATAACGTTGCATATGTGATGTCAATCGAAGTCGACTGGGCAGCTGCCACCTCCGGCCCGGACGGGGAAGCCCTGGCAGAGCGAATCCGGTCGTTCGTACACGACAAATTCCAAGAGATCACCTTGCCGCGCTTCATTCGCTCGGTCCAGGTCCACTCCTTCGATTTCGGGACCATCGCCCCAGATCTCGATATAAAAGACATCTGCGAACCGTTCGCAGATTTCTACGAGGAAGACGACGAGGATGCCGATACCTCCGTCGCCTCAGAGGAGCTCATGTCTGAGCTCCACGAATCTCCATACGAAGATGACATGACCTTCAATCCCACCGCGCATAGCCTTCATAATTTCAGTCACCATCCATACCCCGGCGAAGGCTTCCAGCCATCTGCGCTTCGATCCCCACTAGGCGACCACCTCAACCCGCATTTCATGCCCCGCGCCAGTACACCCGGAATCCCCGGCGGAACGTCGACATTGGGATACCACATGCGGTCTCTGGGCGGTCTATCAGGCACCCAGACACCCCTCGCCGCCGTAGCAGGTGGAACTTCATTTGCAAGCGGATGGTCGGACTCGGGTATGGGTGCCGGACCCAGGTCCCAAGCAGCGCGCCCTACTGGCGCACATCACTTCGCAGAGCCAGACCTAGATACCACCAACTCCGCGTCGCGGCCCTCAACCGCCAACACACCCCCCTCCCATCCTTCCCTTGGCCACACTGGCAGCAGTGGCTCAAATCCGCATACTAGCGACCCCACCGATGCACCACAACCCTCAATAGAGATATCAGACGATCCCGCGGCTGGGGATCAATCGTTCCCCATCCCGCCGCGCATGCGCGAACGCCGCCCAGAGGATTTCCAGGTACTGTGCCATGCAAAGTATGCTGGCGACGTACGCATGTCCCTGACGGCAGAGATCCTGCTTGACTACCCAATGCCCAGCTTCGTGGGCCTGCCGTTGAAGTTGAATGTCACGGGAATTACGTTTGACGGGGTTGCCGTCGTTGCGTATATTCGCAAGCGAGTGCATTTCTGTTTCCTTTCTGCGGAGGACGCAGATGCTCTGCTTGGATCGGAACAGTCTCAGGGTAGTCAAAACCCCAGTGATGATGGTCGGCCTTGGTCTGGGGGCGATCAGAAGGAGAAAGATCCAAAGCGACAGGGTGGGCTATTGCAGGAGATCAGGGTGGATAGCGAGATTGGTCGCAAGGAAGACGGGAAGCAGGTTTTAAAGAATGTTGGCAAGGTTGAGCGGTTCGTGCTAGCGCAGGTTCGAAGGATCTTTGAAGAGGAGCTCGTATATCCTAGCTTTTGGACATTCCTAGTTTGAACATTCGAATTGTGCTGTCCAGCCGTGATCAGCCGATTCACATATATTATGTACATTTACAAATAACTTATGATCTCTAGACATGGCGATTCCTGGCCTAGTCCTTAGCTCACAATAAAGCAACTGAAACGGTAAAGTTGAATTGAATATGACATGTGCTATAGAATCAGCACCATGGATCCCAACGAAAAACCCTAAAAGATATCTGCTAGTACATGGAAAGGAATGCAGCGAGAGTTTCAACAGCGATTCTCGCATTTCCCTCTACATGATAGTAGCCCATGCGTCGATAAAGAGTAGTTGTGCACATTACTTAATCCAGAATGTGTCGAGTTATTTTGTTGCCGAAAGGGTTCCAGCTCCCGTGACAGGGAACGAGGCCCTCCATCCAAAGCAAACGTGAAAACCGCGCGAGTGAAACTCCACCGAAGCTTGGGCTTTGACAGCCTGGGCGGAGGAATCGAACAATAAAACCATTTTACAGGTCTTTCTTGTCCTTCTTCTCGTTCTTGTCGCCCTTTTCGTTGGAAATCTGGTCACCCAGGCTGTGGTACTCGCGGGTCAGACCTTCGCATTGCTTCTTGAGAGTCTCGATATCCCGGTCCTTGGCATCAATGATCTCCTTAAGACGGCCGATCTCGCCTACTGAGCCAGCCTCTGTGATACGGGCAGAGTCCTTTCCACCAGCCTTCTTGTCACCCTCGAAGAGACGGACGCGGTCCTCGAGGCGGAGAGTCTCAAGAATCATGGTATAGGTGCGGTTGAGGATCAGGGAGAGGAACAGAGTGAATCCACAGAGATACATGTTGCGCTGCGAGTAGAACTTGCGGGCCTGGACCTCCATGCGATCGGTACCGAGGTGGGCGGCTCTGTTCATGATGATGGTTAGAGGCTTTGCTGGGATGTGTGATGATTGGCTACTTACCCCATGCCGGGGCCGTCCTTAGTGAAGGCGGACAGTTCCTGCTGCACACGGTATACACGGTTGACGGAGTCAATGAACAAAATGAGGATGAAGATGAATGTGATCTGGGGGCCAGGTTAGCTGTTTGACCGGAAATATCGGGTTTCATAATTGGAAATATGTACCTTCAATCCATATTGCAGCTTGGCAATAATCGGGCTCTCCGAGATGAAAGCAAACAGCTTGCGCTTGATGGTGTGGGGGAGAGGTATGACGAGGGCCAAGAATACAGCCATCTCGAACACCAGAAGGAGGAACACCTAGGTAAGAGCGTTTCGTTAGTCCATCAATAGGGGCAGAATCTGAAGACATGACGTTGGGCTGGGTGGACAGTTTCAGGCA